CCATAAATGTCATGACGGCCGACAACTTCTTACCTCCCAACTTCTTAGCTTCGACATGACTATCAGTTCATTTTCAATATCACTTGATTGTTGTCATTCGATTTTCATTGAGTGACTGCCAAAGAATATTAATGTTTATCATATATATGAAGTCTAATACAAGATATCAACATAAATATTATCATATATCATTGCCAATAAGACTGATGCATATCATTCACATCATTACCAAGAAGTCTGATACACACATTAGCACAAACTTGAATGCAACCATTGCTAAGAATATTGATGTCTGCCATCACTAATAATGATGCTAATAAGACTGATGTATATCATGGACAAAAATATTGTTGCGCATCATTGACGACAAGGTTGATGCTCACATCAACAACAAAGTAGATGCACATTATTGTTAAGAAAATTGATGACCGCTGTCAACATTAACCTCGACATACATCCTTGAAATCAACCCGCACATTTATCATTGTTAATAAAGCTCATGCAAGTAATCAATACTAACATAGACACATGATATCACAAACAAGCTCTACTCTCTCTGTTGGCATCATCAACCTTGTCCCCCAATTTCAATACTAAGGTTTATTTATACTTGATTATGTTCTCCTCTCTTCTATAAAAATGTTCAATTTAACTATCTTTGATCTCTTAGAAGTAATTCTAGCTCAAAGCTCATCCAAGTTTTACCATGGAGTCCATTCTCCTCAGTTCATGATTATTATCCTATATTAACTCATTTTTCATATTTAGGGAAGCGACTTATTTATAATTAATAATATATATTGTTAAAATCATTTCAACTGAGTTTGAACCATGTGATTTTTTAGGCTTCCACGTGAATATTGCATTTTTATGAGTCACACTAGACTTATTTTATCTTTAAATGTGCAAAATCATATAAAATATTGAGATGATAAAATTTTTCTCTACTGCTGCTAAGATGCTTGAAGTAGAAAAAGTTTTTTCTTATTGTTTTGTATTGAATATTTTTGCTCAATTTATTGCTTTCTCTAGAAGGTTGGCTCAATCAATAAAAAATAAAATAAAATATTTAAAAGTTAACTTGTTATTCAAATCAAATTGAGCAACTTTTTAATTTAAATTAATTTAAAGGACATACCATTGAAATAGGTCTTGACATATTCTCAACAAACTAGTACAAATTTGAGTAAGGTTTTATACATAAGAGACATTCATGCTTTTTATATTTTATACATTTATTTTTTCATTTATTAATAAATTTTAAAACTACTAAAATAATTTATATGAAATACGTGGAAACTTTCAAACTTAAGAGTCCACTTGATATTAGTTCAATTATTTAGTCATAATGGTTTGTCTTAATTTAAGCACTAAGGGGTTTATTTAGTAAATATTTTCCATATTGTGGTTAAGTGAAGAGTAATAGAAAGTAGGAATGAAATGGACTCAAATTAGATTCACCATACTAACATGGCTTTACATATTCTTTTGTGCCTAAACAAAAATAATGGTCAAATTTAACTTTAAGGGAGGCTTAGTAGAGCTAGAGTTCATTGTTTTAAGTTTGGTTGAATAGATCAATAAACCTTAAATAGCAGGACAATTGAATGATTTAGGTTTTGTTTGAGTTAATGAGGAACACGAGCGGATAAAACAAATGAAAAAATAATTTTAATTTAAGATCTTTAATTATGATGAAATCAAGAATACTAAGAATTGAAAGTGAAACATAGTAATGTTTTTAATGAAAATGCTATTTTGCTTAACCTATTGCTTAAACAAAAGTTAAGAGAGAGAGAAAGTGTGGGAGTCCGAGAGGTAGAGAGAAAGCTTAAAAAATTTTATTGTTAGGTCAAGTTTTGAATTCTCACAAAGACTTGCCTAATCTCTATGAAAAAATATGTTACTTTCCATACTAAAGTTCTACATAACCAATTAACAAATTGGTTTAATATCACACCTAAGACACCCCTAAACCTTTTTTTTTTTTAATCAAACATGCTGCCTTTTAAGTTACATTAGAAAAAGGTTACTCACTTTGTGGAAGACAAACCAATGATCGGCTACTTTGATAACTAATTGTGGACCTTATATTTTTCATCAAACAAAGATGGTTTTATTCTAAAAATATATTAAATTCTATTTAAATAAATATTTCATATAAATAATAAGATTTCAATACGCCCCTACTCTTAAAATCCTTAGGCTGTGTGACTGAGAATGACAAAATAGCTTATTGTTCGCGAATAGCTCGTGCTTAGACTCCCTAAACAAACGAGTTGAACACGAACAAATTTTTTGATCTCAATATATTAACAAGCCAAACATGAGCAACAATTGTTCTTAACGAGCCAAACACAAAGCGAGCCTGAGCTCGCTCAAACTCGGCTCATTTACACCTCTACTTTTCATGCATTTGTAAGGTGGCATGTTCATTAAATTGTGCAAGTATATAAGAATTGAGTTGTAGGTATGAAAATTTTCCAAATAAAAGAAAGATTTTTTTTTACATTTTCCAAGATCAAAACCAATTACCTGAAATCAAACAACTGAATTATAATGTAAAATACACTTTCATTCCTTAAAATTGCTTCAAACCATAAATGTCATACTTTCCTGATGTATTGACACATCTAACACCTGAACTTCACTTTTTTCACATTTATATCACCTAAATCTTTCACATCACAACTTCAACTTTTAAAACAGAAATACTCATTTTCAAGCAAAAATAAGATAACATACATAGAAAAAAGATATTTTGATGTTAGATAAGTAAATACACAGAAACAAAATGGCCTGCATGCATGCATGCAAATCTCCCTAAATTTTTTCATTTTGATCAACACCAATATTCCTAACAGGCCCCTTGAACCATCTCCTGGCATCCAACACCCACCACAACATTATAACACTTAGGCAGAGACCTAAAGCCACTGGTGCATAGTTAAAGTCCTTATAGTCTATGGGATACAAAGTTGGAAGCAGGAAAACCGAACAAGTGTAGCAGATCCATAAGAATGCTATAAAACACACAGGCTTACTGGCTTTGCCCAGGTAGAAAGGCCCAGGCTTGAAGTTCTTCTCTGCCATGACTAATCTCGCCAATATAGGTACTCCATAGCTCCCCACCCACCCAACTGTGCATATAGAAATAATAGCTGTGAACACAACATTAACCTTGACGATAGGAAGCCCCATGATTATGCAGATAGCTGCGCAGAGCCATACTGCGTTAGCCGGAACTTTATGTTTTGGATGAATTTTACGCCACATGGATGATAAGGGAAAGCCTCCATCCCTCGACAATGCGTATACCTGCAAAACCATGGTATTTTGATTTTTATTATGGAAGATTTACATCTCTAACAAACAGCTAAACTTTAAGTTAACTTTAAGTTGTACTTGTTTGCTACATTACCTATGCATGGAATTGTGTGTTTTACTTTTTTTATAAGTCGAAGCAGTAATATTTTGGATATGATATGAAAGATTTTTGGGGTGTGAATGTGAAACACAAAATTTGGGAATTAGATATGTAAATACGCAAGAATAGGGTGGTTTGTATCTAAATGCCCCTTTATTGTTTTACTTCCTTTGTGCATAAATTGCATGTAATTTAGGAGGAAAAAAAGTGAAGAAATTTGGTTAAAAATTGCTTCAAATGTCATCTTTTGATAACAGAAAAAGAAATCCAGGGAGGAAAATAAAAGGACAAACAAACTAACTAAAAAATTAATCATAAAAAGAGATTAGAAAAGTGTTTACCACTCTAGCGGCACTGGTGGTGCCAGAGAGACCACCAAAGAAAAATGAACCCCAAATAACAATTAGAAAAAAGATAGCACCAATAGAATTATGATATCTCCCATGAAAAGCATCATATAATATCTGTGCAGGCACATATGCTCCCCCAGTTTCATTGTTCGCATCATAAAGATAGTTGAAATCCTGCAAATAATGTTTTTTTTTCACTGTTACAAAATTTATTTAAGTTCTTCTCAAATTTATAATATTCACTAAATTAATTAACTAAAATTTTACCTGGATGCAGAATGTAAGAACTAGGACATAACACCAGCCATACACTGAGACAATTCCAATAGATGTAAGAATAGAAATGGGGCCATTTTTATCAGCTCCCTTTGTTTCCTCTGTTATATGTGCTGCAGTATCATATCCAAGCAAAGAAAAATGGCTAAAAAGAACAGATAAGATGATAGCATATGGCTTGCTGCTTATTCCTGTCGATTCTGAGCCTAATTCAAAATGGGTGAACACAAAAGAGGCAGGCTGAGTAGATGAAGCCACTAGAGGAAGTAGCAAAATGAGGACTGAACCCCCAATCAGCTGTTTCAAATCTCAAAAAAATAAATCAAACAATAATAAGAAAGGCAAAGAATTAAAATGCATGGACAAGTGCGTTTTACTTCTTAAAAGTTGTTGATGTGTTATGAAATAATTGCTTGGTATAAATGTAATGTTTAAATTAGGTGGTATGTATGTAAATTCCCCTAAACAGAAATTGAAATTCTTAATTAAAAAATGAACTTACCTGCCAAACTATTGATATCATGTCAATGAAGGCAATTACTTTTAATGCAAACGTGTTGAGTATGGCCCATATTATTGTAAAACATGTATACATCCCCAGAAAAACTGCAGGAGAGGCAAGGTAACCACCGCCTTTATGCGTACCAGTGCATAACAAAATGATTATTTGCAGGACTTGTGAGGATGAATAAGCCTAAAAAATTTCATAAAAATAAAATGAAATAAGAAAATTGTTAAATTCAAGTCAATGCTCGTGTTAATATCATTAGTAGAAAGATAGATTTTTCACCATTGTACCAATTCCGGCAATGAGGCCGATTGTCTCTAGCCAAGCACAACACCAAGATGCAAATGGGCCCCAGACTGGCCCAGCTAAATGGGCTGCCCAAAAGTACAGAGATCCAGTTGTCTGGTAAGAAAATAAATATATAATATATCAAGAACTCACTAATTTGAGTTAAAACACTTATAAGCTAATAAATAGTACAATTTTAAAGAAAATGTTGGACCCAAATAACCACTAAA